TGTTTCTCTTCCTCTCTTTCTCCTTCCCTTTCCCTCTCTTTGAAAATAAATAAATAAATAAAATATTAAAAAAAAATCTTTAGATGCCTCTGTGTTCATTGTAGCCTTCTTTTCTAAATTTCTGTATAAATGTTAATTTAAGTGTATTCTACAACTTATCCAATGTAGTATTTCTCTTGTTATTTGATTCTGACTAATACTTAGTTTTTTATATTATTACTTTTGATCTCCTGAATTATTTTTAAACATATAGGGTTTTTATGATTATGTTTTTATGATTGACTTATAGCTTGTCTGCTTTATGATTAAAGAGCATGGTCTTTTAAAAATTATTTATTTATGTATATTCTTACCCAACTTTTTGTTTCAAAATATTTCATACTTAAAGAAATGTTGGCCTGGCTGGCGTAGTAGCTCAGTGGATTGAGCGCAGGATGCGAACCAAAGTGTCACAGGTTCGCTTCCCAGTCAGGGTATATGTCTGGGTTGCAGGCCATGGCCCCCAGCAACTGCACATTGATGTTTCTCTCTGTCTCTCTTTCTTCTTCCCTTCCCTCTCTAAAAAATAATAAATAAAATCTTAAAAAAAAAAGAAATGTTGTATCATAGTATAATGAATACTTACATTCATCAAATGCATCAACATTTGGTTACATCTGTCTGTTGTATATGTTGTACCTATCTCTCTCTTTTCTCCTTTCCTCACACTCTTTCTCTTTCTCCCTTTCTCACCTCACATCCTTTGAGTGTTTCTTTTGGACATCATGAGAGAATATGCTTTTTTAATTTAAATTATTTGAGACTCAATTTGTCTCTTAAAACATGGCCAGCTTTTCTAGATGTTTCGTTTGTGCTTGAAATATGTATTTATAGTGTTTGGGTGAAGTTTTGTTTGTGTCTCTTTGTGTGTGTGCCTAGTTTGTTAATTATGCTCTTTAAACCATCATATCTTGATTGTTTTTTTTTTCTGTTAAAATTTGTATATTTCTCCTGCAGTCTGTCAATTTTGCCTTATATATATATATATTTATTATTATTATTATTATTATTATTATTATTATTATATATTCTCACTGGAGGACCTGCTTATTGATTTTAGAGAGAGGGTAAGGGAGGGGGAGGGAGAGAGGAAGAGAAACATGATGTGAGAGAGAAACATTGATCTGTTGCCTCTTGTACACCCCTGACTGGGGACCAAACTGCAGCCTAGATATGTGCCCTGACTAGGGATTGAACCTGTGACTTTTTAGTTTACTGGATGATGTTTGAACCAACTGAGCCACATTAGACAGGCTTGCTATATATACATTTGTGACTATATTATTAAATGCAGATAAATTTTTAAATTGCTATATCTTTTCTGGTAATTGAATGTTTTATCCTTACCTTAAGAGGTGACTCTCTTTATCTTTATAATGCTTTTTGCCTTAGGGAATATTTTTGCTTAATATTAATTGAGCTATACCAGTCTTTCTTTTAAAAACAGAATTTGCCTGGCAAATATTTTCCTAATCTTTTTACTTTCAACTTTTATACATTTGTCTTTTACCTGGTACATTTAGTTCATTGACATTTATTTATTCATAACTGGATCTGTGCCCTACTTTATCTTACTTTGTCTTACCTGTTCAGAGTTTATTTTTCTCTCCTTTCTTGTATCTTTTAGATTCATTATTTTTTTTCTCATTTTTCTCACTGACACTTTTTCCTTAGCTAGTTTCAAAGTGATAAACTGAATTTTTGTTCATTTGTTTGCTTGCTTATTTAGGGGTTACTTTAGAAATAATAACATGTATACTTAAATTATTAGAGTTTACTTATTAGAGGTAAATACCAAAGAAAAAGAAAGCCATCAATTCTTTTTTTTAAAGATTTTTTTATTTATTTTTAGAAAGGGAAAGGAGGGAGAAAGAGAGAAACATCAATGTGCGGTTGCTGGGGGCCATGGCCTGAAACCTAGGCATGTGCCCTGGCTGGGAATCGAACCTGTGATACTTTGGTTTGCAGCCCACGCTCAATCCATTGAGCTATGCCAGCCAGGGCTTTTTTTCTTTTCTTTTTTTTTAAGTAGTCTTTTCTCTTTTTTTTCTTTTTTTTTTTTAATTAATTAATTTATTTTTTTAGAGAGGGAAGGGAGGGAGAAAGAGAGAGAGAGAGAAACATCAGTGTGCGGTTGTTGGGGGTCGTGGCCTACAACCCAGGCATATGCCCTGACTGGGAATCGAACCTGCAATGCTTTGGTTCGCAGCCCACGCTCAATCCACTGAGCTATGCCAGCCAGGGCAAGCCATCAATTCTATGTAGGTGGGTCCACGTAAAATTCTCAGAGAACTTTAAAAAATATTTTAAAATATAATAAAAATTATCTATAACACAAGTTTAAATAATACAGAAGTAAAAAGTATTGGTTACCTTCTCTTATCACACCATTTGGAGTGCCTCCTTCAGAACTTCTCATATATATGCATATGGGTTGGTGCTTTAAAAAAGTGAACATGCTTTGTATTTGTTGCAACTTGGTTTTTTAACCTCATAATATATCATAGATATCTCTCCATGTCAACACATATAGATGTGCATCATTATTTTTAAGGGTTATATAATATTGCAATGAATGGATGACTTACTTAAGCATTTTCCTTTTGAAGAGAAATTTACAATGACACCAATTTTTGCTATAAAAACAGTGCTTCAGTGAACATCAGTGTACATTAATATTTGGCATCCCTTCTATAGGACAAATTCCTAAAAGTGGAATTGCTGGCTTAAAGGGAATGCATATTAAATTTTATCATTAAAGAAATTAGGTAACAAAATATCTAGAGTAGTCAAAAACATAGAAACAGAAAGCAGAATGGTGGTTGCCAGTGCTGGGGTGGGGGGATGAGGGGTTGTTATTCAGTGTATACAGAGTTTTAGCTTTACAAGATGAAAAAGTTCTAGAGATCTGTACAACAGTGTGGACATATTGCATTAGCCAAAAAGTCTGTTACATTTTTTCTATAACATAAAAGACACACTTTTCATTTTCACCAATAACTTTATTGATTTGGATATTGTATGTCAGTTATCTCCCGCTGTTGGCTTCTAGTGGGTAGAGGCCAGGGGTGCTGCTAAGCATCCCCCAATGCATAAGAGAACCCCACAGCAAAGAATCATTTGGCTAAAATGTCAATAGAACCAAGAAACTTCACAAACCACTTTTGACACATTCTATGAGTCACAGCACCTTCTCCATACACTGCACAAATCTTTTGTGTTTTAGTTGCATTTTTACCTTTCTTGAAATAATAAAGCATAATATGCTGAAAATGTTGCCTATCTTCTTCCATCTTCAGTATTAAAATGGCTGCACAAAAACTCACCAATTTTGATAAGTTCTTTTAAATGCATGCTGATATGCCAGCTGTCACAATAACAATATAACAAAATTGTTTCAAATGAAGTTAAAACAACTAAGCACTACTAGAGCCATAAAAAAAAAAACTAATGGACTTTTTGGCCAACCCAATAGTTAACAGTACTCAAATGTACACTTAAAATGGATTAAAAGGGTAAATTTCATACTATATATTTCTTACCACAATTTAAGAATTGTTTAAAAAAAGATTTTAGGTTGCTGCAAGAGTTTGGTATGATTGGGATGTATTTGGGAGTGATGAGGTAGATGGGTAGTGGGAGATCATAAAGGTCCTTGTAAGACATTTTAAGCAGCCAGAACTTTATTTTTTAGGCAGTTCGGGCATTTGAAGACTTTCAAACAAAGGAATAAATTGAGTATTTTTGTGTTTTAGGATATTCACTGAACCACAAAGTTGAGGATCTAGTGGGGCCAAAATGGGAGAGGACAGAGGGTAGAATAGAGGCAGTGAAGTCAATTAGACTTGAAATAATATTGAATTAATGTAGTAGTAAGTGGAGGGGTAAATTAGGTGTTAAGGAAGTAGAATGGCGTTACCAGTTGGAAGGGGTAAAGAAGTAAGAGGAGTCAAGGATAACTCCAGGTTTCAAATAGCTTGTGTTTCAGTGGCCAGTGGTTGCATTAACTAAGGCAAGAAATGTAATAGGAACAGAAGGTTTAAGGGTAAAAAACCAAATGAACTCATTTTGGATGTATCATTTTTGAGGTGTATCCAAATAAAGCCAAGTATGAGCTTACTGGGTGTATGGCTTAAAGCCTGGAGGAAAGGTCTAGGCTAAAGAGAGATCTAGAAAGCATTTTAAGGTATAAATGGTAGCAAAAAACATGACCGACAGGCCAAACATTTATTATCCACACTTTAAAGCATCAGCGGCCAGTGTTAGTGTATGAAGACTGGTCAGACTGAGGACAGAACTCAAGGAAGCAGCCAACCTTTGTGGGCAGTTGGAAGAAGAGCAGTCAGTGGAGACTGAGAGGTGGTCAGATAGAATGAGAACAAGAGACGGTGGCATTGTGAGGGCTAAGGGAAAATGGTTTTAGCAGGAAGGATTGGGATAGGTGGCTGATGTTGCAGTAAGGTCACATAAGACTGCAAAATCACCACTGTTGTATTTAGAAATTAAATTCTTTGCCATGAAGTACTGTATACTGTAAGTAGAAATCAGATTTCAGTGAGTTGAAAAAGGAATATGAGGTGAGAAAATGGAGAGAATGAAAGACTAATTCTGCTTTAGGAGGTAGGGACACTGACATTTATTAATGTCTCCTGGGTTTCAGGTACTGTTATCTCAGACACATACTACAGATTTCACTGTTCTACCTAACATATCTTTTGGTTTAAAAGTATTTTTTTGTCCAGAGTCATTTTAATTTTAGTGTACATACAGTGTGTGAGTACCTCATGATCTAAAAGGAAAGGGAACCTCTTTCACTCTCTGTGGCAAAATTCTTGTTCTTCATCCTTTGGGCATAGGAGGGGAAATGTTGGCAAATGGATTTTTTTGTCTACATTATATCCTCCATCCTCCTTTAATCCCCAGCAGAATTGAGCTATTACCCCACCTTCCTTCACTCCCAGGCCCGGTATGAAAGCCAGCGGATCCAGCTGGAGTCAGAGCTGGCCGTGCAGCTGGAGCAGCGGGTGACAGAGCGGCTGGCGCAGGCTCAGGAGAGCAGCTTGCGGCAAGCAGCCTCCCTGAGGGAACATCACAGGTACCTGGGACTTACTGGGTGCCGCGTCTCCTCAGCCACGCAGGTGTTGTTAGTGCCCTGCCCACATCCTCTCAGATCCCTTTATCATCTTCCAACATGCTGGCTCCTGTCAGCTGGGACCTAAGTCTGTCTGTTGGAGAGCCGCCTGCAGGTGCACATAGAGAGCTGGAGTGCTTGATGATTTTCCTCCCACAGGGCGTAGTCCTTAACCAATAACTGGTGGGTGCAGGAATATAAATTTCCCAGCTCCCTTGTCTCTGATGGGGACAATGATGAGCTTGACCTACACCATCTCCGAGTTGACCTGTGGGATTGAGCCTCCTTTCAATCCCAGTTTCATTTCTCCTCACCTCCACTTCTCGACCATTCTTTTTCCTGGAAATGTTTCTTAAATAAATAATCCTCATCTCAGTCTTCGCTTCTGGGGAACCCATCCTAAAACAGCAGCTTTGTTCTTTCCTCTTTCCTAAGCCCACTGTGCTGTGCCAGGCTGGCTGCCTGCGGCTAGCTGTCTCTCACACATACACTCTGCCTTTTCTCATTCGATTACTTCTGTCTCCAGATTCAACCCTCTTTTCTCACCTGTGTCCTCTCAGGAAGCAGCTGCAGGACCTAAATGGACAGCACCAGCAGGAATTGTCCACTCAGTTGGCTCAGTTCAAGGTGGAAATGGCAGAACGAGAGGAAAGGCAACAGCAGGTGGCTCAGGACTATGAGCTCAGGTACCGGTCCTTAGAGTATTGCTTTTACACCTCAGTCCCTTTCCTGTGCACAGAGCCCAGACTGGGAAGGGTGAAGAGCTGCCGCCTCCACAGACTTGTCCTCTTCTACATTGGCCTCTGCTCCTTGCAGAATTTCCAATGTCTGACATTCCACTCTGGTTCGCCTTATTCTCCAAGTCTTTGCTTTCTCAAAGGCTACCTGTGTTAGCTCTCCCATCTTTTCTTCAGATTGGCCCGGGAGCAAGCTCGAGTGCGGGACCTGCAGAGTAGGAACCAGCAGCTGGAGGAACAGCGGGCTGAGCTTGTAGAGCGACTCCAAGCCATGCTGCAGGCCCACTGGGAGGAGGCAAACCGACTGCTCAGCACCTCTGCCCTGCCTTCTAACCCCCCAGTAGGCATTACCCCTTTAAGTTAAGCTTCTCAGAGTTGTAGATAGATCCCTTTTTTGGAAATCTAGCTTCCTCCCAAGATAAGTCCTAAATTCAGGTCCTTGAACCTGCATTAAAAAAAAAATCCGAGGAACTGTCTCATCAAAAGAAATCTTTTTTTCTGTGGCCATAGCTCACCCAGACTGGCCACAGTGCATTGGATCTAACTCTCTTTTCCCAGCTCACGAGGTGGTGAGGAACATGTGATTCTAGTTTTGCCAAGCAGTAATTGAATTACGATGTTAAGGGCCAAAATTGTTGCTAAGTCCTGCCCTAGAGTAGGATTAGGAGCCTCACCCCTGGCCTATCTTATGTTACTTGGCATCTCCTGCTTCCTTCTTTTAATTACGAAATTTTTATTATTAGCTAAAATGTTTTTTGGAATAGATATGCACATGGCAAGGAAAAAAATCCAAACCATTCAAAAAGGTATAGAGTGAAAAGTAATCTGCCTCCCAAATCTGCACCTCAGTCTTCCAGCTCCTCTCTCCAGCAGCAACTGCTGTTACTGGTGTCTGGAGCACTCCCCCCACAAATGGTAGCCTTCTACACACTATTGTGTGGTTTTTTATTTAACTAAGTGCTTATTGGCGGAATTTAAAGTTGTTTCATATGTTTTGTTTTTACAAATTGCTGCAATAAATATCATTAATACATATCTGTCCAAGTGTATCTGTAAAATTTCTAGAAGTGGAATTGTAAAATCAAAAGTAAGCATCTTAAAATTTGACAGACATTATCAAATCTTCTTTTAAGGAAGTTTTAATTTGTAATCTTACTAAAGTATCTGTACCACATCTTGTCTCTTTTAATACCCTGGGCTTTGACCCTTCTTTCTGCCTCTCTCTTGTGCCCAGGTCCCTACCACCAGCCCCTGCAGCCCTGGGCCACACGAACCAGAGAAGGGGGAGAGGAGGGTCTGGAATATGCCTCCCATGGCTGTGGCCCTAAAGCCTGTGTTGCAGCAGAGCCGGGAAGCAAGGGACGAGCTGGCTGGAGTGCCACCTGTTCTTTGTAGCCCCTCCCCAGATCTTAGCCTCCTGCTGGACCCCACTTTCCAGAGCCAACATTCCTTCCAGGCCCTGGAACCAAAGCCAGATCTCACTGAATCTTCAGGTAACTGGGAACAGATATCACCCCTTACATGCACTAATTGGCTCCCTCTTACCTACCTGCTTCTCAGTCTGGGACTTGAGTATTTGGATTCCCAGATGTCTGAGTGACTGTACATCGCAAGGAGCAGAAATCCACTCGAGCTGGATTGAATAAAGGGAGTGAGATCTCAGGGAAATGTGGTGTAGCTAGACCTAATGAGAACTGGAGTTTGGCTCCAGCAGTGCTCTCAGGAACTGAGGCGGCTGCTACTCCTCTCTTTGGGCTTGCGTGGGCACTTAACTCTGCCTCTCCCTGCACGTCTGTTCCTTTCTCTTGGCAGGCTACCACTTTTTCTCACTCAAGGTGCTAGCTCTCATAACTTTGGCTTGCACATGGACTTGATCAGCCATGACACTGATTCCAGCCAAGACTAAACAACCTTATAGAGACCATGGGTCTCTGTTTCTTAGGTCCAGTTTAAAGAGAGGCCATCTGATGGGTTGGCAACCATCCCTTGGATTGGCTAACCTTGGGAGTGGTGTCCACCCCTGGTTTAGTCATCTGTAACTTGGGTGGATGGGGGTGCTGTGTATAGTGCAAACATGAAAAGCCAGGTTGAATTAAGAATGAGGGATGAACCCTGGCTGGTGTGGCTCAGTTGGTTGGAGCCTGTATACCGAAAGATTGCAGGTTTGAGTCCCAGTCATGGCAGATACCTAGATTGTGGGTTTCACCCCTGGCCCAGGAGCCTATAAGAGGCAACCCATTGATGTTTCTCACATCAGTGTTTCTCTTTTTCACTGTCTCTTTCCCCAACTTTTTTTTCTAAAAGCAATAAAAAAAATGTCCTCAGGTGAGGATTAAAGAAATTAAAAAAAGAATGAGGGATGAATTATATCACATTTTTAGTAAAAGGTGAAAGATTTATACTATCTGAAGAGAAACCAGAGTAATGTATATATCACATTTCAAACATAAAAGTTGTGTAATTATAAAAACGAATTGAGGGCATGTTCTGGTGAAGGAACCAGAACATGTTTATTAATCCTAAACCATTCTGAATATTAGTTTCTGTTCTTTAAGTGGTTTATGGTGCTATTTATTATTTATTTAGAGTCTGAATACCACAGCTTTCTCCTCTGTCTACACTTCTTAGAATTCAGCTCTTCCATCTCTCAGTTCCCTTCACCCCTTCCCTCCAGCTATTTTAATCTTTCGTTATCTTCTCACTGCAGCGTCACTCTTATGTTGAATAGGCCTCTTTCTTCTGGGCATTTGGTGAGTTGAGTTATGGAGGAACCCCTCCCCCTACAACATACACATGTGTGCACACACACATACATGTGCACACTCGCATGTACACGTTTCATTTTGCAGATGGGGCCTTGCATCCCAATCACAGAGCAGAACGGCCATTCCCTGAGGAAGATCCTGGATCAGATGGGGATGGCTTCCTAAAGCCAGGGCTGCTGCCCCCTTCTCAGCTCGAGGGCCTCAAGCATTTTTTGCACCAGGTCAGAGAGGGCCCACGCATCCCACCTTATTTTCTTCTTCCATTCTTCATTTCCTCTTTCTGCTGTAGGAGTCCAGGACTCTGGCATCATCTCCCTTTTAGAATTAATACTTTGTCCCAGCTTCTTACTCTCCCAGTCTTATTCCTATCTCAGAAGTCCTTTCTGGAACTTAGGCAACCAACCGTAGCTCTTACTTCCGCAGCCTCTGCTTCCCTCAGATACCTAAGACTTTCTTTATTGGCCCTGAGGAAACCTTACTATCTTGTCCCCCCAGCTGCTGGAGACAGTACCCCAGAACAATGAGAACCCCTCTGTTGACCTGTTGCCCTCTAAGTCTGGTGAGTGCCAGCTCTAAAAAAGATTGGGGCTAGGAAACGTGAGAGGATGGATTTTTAGGACCTGGCAAAGGTGGTGAAGCCTAATAAAGGCCAGGGGGATGGACCTCCTTGGCTCTTTAGCCCATTTCATGATTCTTTGATCTCTTTCCTCTTGCTAGGTCCCAATCACTTGCCTGTCCCATCTTGGGAGGACGCCCCTCAAGTGCCACAACTCCCACCCCCTGTCCATAAAACTAAAGTGCCCTTAGCCATGGCGTCCAATCTTTTCCGGGCCCATGAGCTTCCCTCAACCCACTTACGGAGCAGTGGCCCCAGCAGTGGCTCCCCAGAGAGAGGTAAGCAGGTCATGGTTTACTGGGAGATGAAAAGGGAGGTGTTGGGTGTGGAGCAAGTACCTGGAACTAAGGCCCTTCAGGGTTCCTAGGGAGCTGGGAGGGGGGCTCGGGAGAGCATGTCTAGGATGAGGACCATTACTGATTTGTCTCTCAGGTGGAGATGGGCTCGCATCCTCGAGGCAACTGATGGAGGTGTCTCAGCTGTTACGACTGTACCAGGCTCGGGGCTGGGGGGCACTGCCTCCTGAGGACCTGCTGCTCTACCTGAAGAGGCTGGAGCATAGCGGGTACCAGCCTGGAAGGGAAGGGTTATTTGGGCAGAATCTGAACAGTGCGCAGGGAGATGGCTCGGGCAGGGAAGAGAGTGTGTGTGTTGTCCATTGAGTGCTCTTTTGTCCTTTTCTGGGGAAGAAAGTAAAGATAAGATACAGATTGAGTCTCTTCTTCCTACATCTCTCCCTGCTCCCCACCTTTCTTTTCATTCTTTAGACATTTAAAAAAAATTATATCTAGAGAGAAGGGAAGGGAGGGAGAAAGAGAGAGAGAAACATCTGTCAGTTGCCTCTTACATGCACCCTAACTGGGAACTGAATCCGCAACCCAGGCATGTGCTCTGACTCAGAATGGAACCTGCAACCTTTCGGTTTACAGGATGATGCCCAACCAACTGAGCCACACTGGCCAGGGCCCCCTACCTTTATTTTTTTTGTCTCTTCCATTCTACTTCATTTTTTTCTTTGCTTCTAAAAAAAGTCTCTTCACCATGTCTTTCTACCTTAGTTTTTTCTTCTTTACCCTGCAGCACTTAACTCAGAATCCTAGGATTGTGACACCCTAGTATAACTCAATATTTGATTTCATTAATGTCTCCTCCCATTTTTAAAAATTATTTATTTATTTTTAGAGGAGAGAAGGGAGGGAGAAAGAGAGGGAGAGAAACATCAATGTGTGGTTGCCTCTGATGTGCCTCCTACTAGGGGACCTGGCCCGCAACCCTGACTGGGAATTGAACCATCAACCCTTTGGTTCACAGGCTGGCACTCAATCCACTGAGCCACACCAGTCAGGGCCCTCCTATTTGATTCCAGGTCTATCTTGTTTATTCTTAAGAGACAAAGTTGGGGAGTAGTTCTTCTATTTAACGTTGAGGTAGGGAGAACTCTTCCTCCATCCTCATCCCTTGATTTGTATGGCAGGACTGATGGCGGCCGAGGGGATAGTGTCCCCAGAAGGAACACAGACTCCCGCTTGGGTGAGCTCCCCCGGAAAGAGGTGAGCAAAAGCAAGGCAGAGCAAGGGATAGAAGGGCCCTCGTTGACTCATTCCTCCAACTCTGCGCACACTGCACTCTATGGCCTGACCCACCCCATTCCTGTTCCCATTCTCTGTAGTATGATCACTCCCTCTTGCCGAAGGATTCTCATCCTTTCCTTGCATGAGTTTTCCGCAGTGGAGCAGGAGATGAGAGTATAGGATGCTGACTTTCTCTTCTCTTTCCTTCAACGCTCAGGCTCCCTCCCAGGCTCTCCCTCGCCGCCTTGCCACAGTTCCTAGGAGTGAAAAACCTCCGGCACGCAAGAAAAGTGGGCACCCTGCCCCTGGTAGCATGAGGAGTCGGGCAGGAATCTGGAGATAAGCCCCTTGGCCTTTCTTCTCTTCTTTGTTCTCTTATTACTATTTTAATAAATGCTCGGTAGTCTGTATTAGAGTCTGTGACTCAGGAATTTGGCAAATGGAGGTTTTACAGGAAATTACTTTGTAAAGAAACCTCATTTTATTCTGTTTGAGTATGTTTTTCATATGTTTCTATTTTATATTATGTGGAAAAAGACATGAAGACAGCCTTATGGCTAGATTGGAGAAGTTTTAATGAGCCACGTTTCAATGTTTTAAGAGTAAAACCCACAGAGTAATTATTAGCTCTGGTTGGTAGTATCATTTTGAATGATTTTTATTTTCTTTATGTATTTCTGTGTTTTCCAAATTTTCTAAAACAAGCATGTATTATTAATCAGAAAAAAACCAAACTTTTAATAAAAGAATAAGTTATATAAAGACTTTGAGTAAAAATTTGATTGTTGGAGAGACAGGTCTTTCTTTTCAGAGCAGACAATTATTTGAGATTGCATTAGTAAGATTCTGGAAGATTCCACTCCAGCCAGCAGACATTATGGCCTCGGTGTTCACAACATGTATACAACATGTATAAAAAACTAGAGTGCTGGCAAGAGAAATAAAGCCCATAATTACAAAAAAATTCCATCCTAACACTCACCAAAATGAACAAAGAGAAACAATATTAGAGAAGAAATGGCATCTATGTGAAACTAAGAAATGCCCCAACTTCACAGTACAAATACTGACAAAAACACCGTGCAGTTTACATTACAATGAAGGATGATGCTGCGGGACACACACGCAGCTTCCCAGTCCTGCAGCTAAGGGCAGGGTGGTGAAGATGGTAAATACAGTTCTGACGGGCCTGGTCCTAGGTGTTTGAAGGACAGAGTTTATTCGATTCCCTGAGGTCCTTCTACTTGCTCCTGAATTATTTGGTTAGATCCAGAATAGACGTGATAGAGTATAGACTCACATAGTATTTCATTTTTTTTTTTTTAGATTTTTATTTATTTATTTATTTTTGGGGAGGGAAAAGAGGGGGGAGAGAGAGAGAAACATCAATGTGCGGTTGCTGGGGGTTATGGCCTGCAACCCAGGAATGTACCCTAGCTGGGAATCGAACCTGGGACACTTTGGTTCCCAGCCCGCGCTCAATCCACTGAGCTACGCCAGCCAGGGCCAGTATTTCATATTAATAAATGTTTGTCTTATTTCCTTCCACCTAAAAGTAACTTTGGAGCCCCTGGGAAAGGGAAAAGGGAAGAGATAAACACACAACTCCAGCCAGGACAGTTGGTCACCGGCCTCACTCAGGACAGCCCTCACTGGCAGAGAAACAAGAGGTGAACTTGCGCAGGAGCAGCACTGGGCTCAGGAGACTTTTCAAGCTCTGTCTCTTCACCCACCTACGGAAATGTTTGCTTTTCTATTTTTTACCTCAAGTGCATAAAATTTATTTGACCAAACTCTGTGACTTATGGCACAGTATCATTATTGGTAAAGGAGGTTTTTTTACTGTTTTAACAAGCTGGTAAAATGAACACCCAGTCTTATCTCATTATCTCTTGGATTCCAACTTGCCACACTCTGTTGACATGCCCTACATTTTTCTTAACGTTAAAGACAGTCTGGAGAATATTTCCCAACTCTGCAGAACAAAATCTGGAAAGGGCACAGTGCTGACTTAACCATTCGGTGAGCCAATTATTTTTATTTTTATTTGAAAATATGTTGTACCCACATTAAAAGTCTGCTTCTTCACAAAATACCACCAAGGAGGCTGGGGAGGAGAAGAAAACCCATAGTCAAGCAGCTCTTCTTCCCAGTTTTTCCTCTATAATTGTCTTGGAAATATTCTGAGAGAGGAAAAAAGCTAAATGATTTTTAGAGCTCTATGAAAGCCCACATTTAGAGGAGGTGGTGCATCCTGTAAGCCTAAGGTTTGGTTGGTGTAGACAGGGTGTCACATGACACTTTGTCTCCTGAGAACTCCCCAAGCTACTTGGTGTTGGTAGGGGAGGTTCTGGTGGTAGAATATATTCAGGTAAAGGCTGAGCTGTTATAACAAAGAAACCTGATGGGATTGTGGCTTTTGGGCAAAGTTTATTTCCCTGGTAATGGTCCAGAGCAGTGGGGTGGTCCTGCTGCACGTGGTCACATAGGGTCTCAGGTTTCTTCCATCTTCTTGCTCTGCTATCCCCTATATCAGTGTTATTACTTGTGTGGTTGAAGCAAGGTCATTGTCATACAGGACTCTCAGCTGGCAAGAAGGGAAAAGAGCCATGTTCAATGTCTTCAGACCCACTCTTGGAAATTCCACACATGAATTTTGTTTTTATTTCATTAGCAAACCTTGGTCACATGGCCACATCTGACTATTGGGGATCACTCTGTGTGGTTTCAGAGATTGTAGCCCTGGGAGAGCAGGCTCTGAAAGGAGCTGGTAAGTCTCCCTGGAAAACCAGGTAATAATGCAGGTGGCAGGCATGACTCGACTCTTACACCAAGAGTTCCCATGGGAATTGGGCCTAAGTTGTACATTTTGTCCTTTGAAGTCTGCTCTGCCCTGTGATAAGCCCTGTCAGTGTAACCCAAATGTCTGAGTTCAAGGCATAAGGAGTGAAACTCCCTACTTTATGATATATGCCTTTACAACCATCCGGCGTCAGCATGTCTCACAGACCCCGACCTGAAAAGATTTCTGTGTTTCTTCAATTGTTATCTATAGACAGTGTCAGTTTTTTATGACTGTAGCCTTTTGGACATTGATTGATAAGCTATGCATGTGCGCTGCATCCCCCTTCACTTCCCAACCCTAATAAAAGCCATTTCGGAGAAGGGCTCAAGGCATTCTCCACTGGAGGGAATCGCCACCCCTTTCCCAGCAGAACAACACATTGTGTCCGGGACGACTCTTTATTCTCATCTGCAGTGGCCAGGAGAGCTCCGTAGGCCGGAGTTCCCCACATTTGCCTGCAAGGAAGACTTGGAAACATAGCCTAGCTGGCTGCCATGTATGCAGTTATAACTCTGTTACTGTGCAAGATCTAAGGAAGAGGTAGGAATGGACTTTGGTGGAAAACTAGCAATTGGTATTGACTAGGCAGACAGTAAAAAAATGCACCGGACCATGTAAGTTAGTCCAACTATGTCAAGTGTTGCTGAGGACATGAAGCAATAGAACCTCTACGTGTGCTCTACAGGGGAGAGACCCAGGAGAGGATAAGTAGATCACTTTGGGAAATATTTTGGCATTATCTAGGAAATGTGATGATGCCTGCACCCTATGATGCAGTGACTCCATCCCCATGGAGGTGCCCTAGAAAGACTTGCCTGCGTGTGCACTAGGAGACAAGTACAAGAATGTCAGTGTAAAACCTGCAAACACTAGAATGTCTGTCGGCAGTGGTAGATTCATACAGTGAAATACCACACAGTAGTACAAACGGATGATCTAAGGCTACATACATCAACATGGATTAATTTCACAAACATAATGTTGAGTGGGAAAAGAAGAAAATATCCAGTACACGGTTTATGTAAAGTTTGAAAGCAAGCACAGGGCAATCCAGTCCAGTATGAGGGGGCCCTCATGGGGGCAGCCTGACTTGGTGTTGGAGGTAAGAAGTGAGTCCATCTGGCAGGATGGCCTGGCAAGGTGTCAGAGCAGGGCTCAGGTGAGAGGGGACATCTGTGTGTGGGGAGATTGTTACATATGGGGGATTGATCAAATACGTAAATATATTTGAACAATGGGAGCTAGGTTTCTCACTGTTGAGGAAAGGATTTATACATTGTAAAGGGAGAAAACTAGAATGAATTTTGTGGTGTTGGATTAGAATTGAATGCATCATTGTAGACTTGTGGTCTTCAAAATATATAAATAGATATAGAAATGCATCCAGATGTGAATTGCTGTGTGTACATACATTCACAGGTTTCCTAGCAATATTGCTGTGTTTTCCCAAGATTGCTTTAACAAATTACCACAGACTGGGTGGTATTACAGAACAGAAATTTACTCTCATAGGACTGCAGGCTGGGAGTCTGAAACCAAGGTGTTGGTAGGGCCATGTTCTCTGAAGGCTCTTGGAAAGGATACTTTCTTGCCCTCTTCCTAGCTTCTGTCAGGAGTGACCAGTGATCCTTGATGTTTCCTGGCTTGTAGACACGTAAATCCAATCTCTGCCTTTTGCCACATAGTATTTTCTCTGTTCCCCTGTATTTTCACATGGCCTTTTTATAAGGACATCAATCATTGGATTTAAGGTTCACCCCAATCCAGTATGACTTGGTCTTAACTGATTATATCTGCAAAGACCCTACATCAAAATAAGGTCACATTCAGAGGTACTGGGGGTCGGACTTAAACATATCTCTTGGGGGGATACAGTTCAATCCATAATAAACCCGTTAACAACGAACACACCTAACATTCAGATCTTTCTAAATACCATTCTCTACTAGAAAGGAGCCAGGGCTTCTTGCAGAAATGGCCAATTCCAGGTCTGGATCAAGGAAAGTAGAAGATATGCCTAGAAAATCTTGAAGTAAAAAGTAAGGACAAAGCCCTGGCTGGCGTAGCTCAGTGGATTGAGCGCGGGCTGCAAACCAAAGTGTCTCAGGTTCAATTCCCAGCCAGGGCACAGGCCTGGGTTGCAGGCCATGGCCCCCCAGCAACTGCACATTGATATTTCTCTCTCTCTCTCTCTCTCTCTCTCTCTCTCTCTCTCTCTCTCTCTCCCCCACTCCCTCCCTCCCTTCCCTCTCTAAAAATAAATAAATAAAATCTTAAAAACAAAGTAAGGACGAATGTACTCAAAGAATAATGGGGACATGGCAAAAGAACACAGAAGCTGGCTTGAACGGCTCTGTGTGCCCTACAATTTGAGCATCAAAAATTATAAGAAATTATAATTGAATAAAATAAGAAATCATGAGTCCATATAAATATAAATAAACTGAAAGGTTGATGAGGTACAGGAGATTTACATAGTTTCAAAGTATGTACCATAAAATACTTAATAATTATAATAGGTAACAGTGTGACTTTACAGTGGAGAATTCTGGGTGAGCCACCTTAATCAAGTGATCAAAGTGAAGGTCATCATCAGTATGAGTCAAATCCTAATCCTGTATCGCCTGAAAGGATGTGAAAAGTAAATACAGCATCTGTGAGATCCATAGCCTGAATTTAACCACAAAGAAACATCAGACAAACCCAAATTGAGGGACGTAAATTAATTATTGGCCTGAAATTTTCAAAAGTGCCAAGGTCAAGTAAGTCAAGAGAAGACAGGAGAAATGTTCCAGACCTAAATTGACTACCTTAGCATAAAAACTAAAAGCAGCACATGATTCTGAACTGGACCATTTTGGTAAAGAGAATTTTATTGGGATAATGGGTGAAACTTGAA